CCCTTACTATTTTTAAGAAATCTCTGTTTTCATGGTCCTTAACTGCAATCCTGTCTTCTATATCTGATATTCTATCTTCAGATTCCCTCAATCTGCTATGCATGCTTACAATGGAGTTTTTAACCTCCTGAATATCTGTTTGAGTCTGTTTCATGGATTCCATTTCTTTTTTATTTTGGGCATTCATGGCTTCCAGCATATTTCTGAGCTCATCTATTTTTTTTTTCATTATTTGTTTCTGTTCTAGGACCTCTAATTTTGTCTTTCACTCTGCTCACCATCTCTGTAGTTATCTGGGAGACTGTTTCTGCTTTGAATTTTTCTAGAGCCTCATTCATCTGTTTTGTTACCTCCTGTGCTATCAGTTTAGGGTGTCCAGGTGGTTGATTATCAGTCTTTTCCATCTCGTTTTCCCCAGATATTGCCTTTTGGGGGGTGGAAGCCTGGGTTTGTTACTTGCTTAAATGACTTTTCATTTTTGTTTTTGGTGCTGTCAGTTATAAGTCAATGAGTTCCAGTAAGCCAGTCACAGACCCCTGAAATTCAGACAGACTTCCAGCTGCAAGTCCCAAATTGAGATCCCTGCCCTTCTGCAGGGCCTAACTCTGCAAGGCTCTACTACAGGTTCCAGTTATCTTTCCACTGGAAATAGTCCAGGATCAAATGGGAGGTGATGATCCCTCCAATTTACCCAGTATGGTGGTCTGGTGTGCCTAAATAGCAGAGATTCTCTTCACTTTTCCAGTGGGCTTCAGTTTTCATCAGGGAACTGGAAAGAGGCACTCTGTCTGCTATTCACTTCTGTAACTCACTACAATGGTCTTTATGTCCCCCTGGGCCTCAGTAGTGTGGATCCAGGTTATTTACAAACCAAGAGGCCAGAGGAAGGGTGGTGGGGTGGCTGTTGTTACATGTGCCCATGTGGCCAAGCTGCCAGCCTGTGGGCCTGCAGGGGGACAGGGAAGTGTGTCCTCAGGTCTCCTGGATGCAAGTGGGCAGGGCAAGCTGGAAGTATCTGGGCGCAGGTACCCGCATTTGACCACACGGCCAAACTAGCACCTGGTGTGCCTCGATCATATGTAATTCTTAATGTAAAACATACCAATTAAACAACAACAAAATATCATGTTATAGCCAATAATCCTGTAAAACATCAAAGGCTGAATGATGCTAAGTTACATGAGGACAGAGGAAGGGAGAATTCTCCAGTGCACGTGTGGACCTGAGATCTGAGGATCATGCTCTGGAGACCAACCTGCTGGTGTCTAGTTAGCTGACACTGCATCCAGCATAGACAGCAGAACTGATGCTTAGGATGTGGACACAGAACAAATTCTCAGAATGGGTCAGAGTAAGGGAAATGACACTGGTAACTTACAAATTCTTATTAGTCATTAATATTCATTCTCTAGTATATGTTAATCAAACAAAATTATTTATTCCTAAACAAATACAATGACCAATGTAAGCAATTTGAGACAGAAGAAAATAAATAACAAATGTTGTAGCTGAGTGTGGTCACATAAAACTCTGGCCCCAACTACTCCTCTCTCTTTTTTCTTTTGTACCAAGGATCAAACTCAGGTCCTTGTGCTTGCACAGCAAGCAGCAAAACCACTGAGCTAAATCTCCAGACCCCCCCCCAACTACTCCTGAGGCTGAAACAAGAAGATCAAGGCCAGCAAGGGCAATAAAGTGAGACCTCATCTCGAAATAGAATAAGGAAGGGCCAGGGATGAAACTCAATGCTAGATCACTTGGTTAGCAGGAGTTCCATCACTGGAACAAATTTATACATGAATAAATGAATAAATAAATAAATAAATACATAAATATGGAGTGTTTAATATACCTTAGCAGATAAGATTATTTAAAATCTAGGAAACCTTCATTTTATCAGTATTTTTAAGCCATGCTTTTCAGTTTTGTTTTGATTGAGTTCTACTGTGTTTGAATATTATTGTGGTTTTTTTCCCCTTGCGTTGTTCTTTGAGTAGTTTTAATTTTTTGTATGTGTGTGTGTGATGATAAAGTTATTTTAAAAATTAAAAATTAAGCCATGGAAATACAAATCTTTGAATGTTTTAATTGAAAAGGGTAAAAACGATGATGATTTAAAAATGAAGTACATTCATGTACTGGAAATTTGATTAATAATATTATATGGCATAAACAATTTGTATAGGATGATATTACCCTATAGAAATTGGTTACTTACATGTGTATCCTTGTAAGAAAAGTGTTTTAGATATCAATTTCTTCAGATATTTGCACATACATAAATGGGAATGGGACATAGAATTAAACACAAAATGCATGTATGTTTTACATACTTAGAGCCGAAAGGTAATCTGATCCATATTATTCAGCTTGTGCATGGAGCCAAGCCTGTGTACATGGACAGCACAGGCATTGGGTGAATAGATTTTCTTTTTTGCTTTTATTTATTTTTTTGGTACCGGGCATCAAACTAGGGTCCTTGCACTTGTGCAGCAGGTGGTGAAACCACTGAGCTAAATCCCCGGCCCTGGGTGAGTAGTTTTTCAATGGTGGCATCTGGCTGGTGTTCAAAAGTTTTGGATTTTGAAATATTTCAGATTAGAGACACTTAATCTGCTTTTTGAGGATATTTGGAAGACAACTGGTGGTAGAACTAAATGAATCACTCTAAATTCTAAGCTGTACAAAAAAATGTTAAAATTTCAAATGCAAAAATATCAAAATGAATAATGCCCAGAATGAGGCTACTGATCCATGAGTTCAATAATAACTGATCAGCTGGAAGGAAGTTCCATTTACAGGCAACTGAGACCAAAGCACACAGATTTTATTTAAAAGTGAGAAATCTCAAGCCCTGTTTTGCTCACATTTATTAAGATTTTGAAAATATAAGTGATTAAAAAGGACAGTGACAAGAATTAATATGAGTGATATGGAAGAGAGAGGAGGAAAGTGAGGAAGAGGCTGCCAGAATTTAATATAAAATACTAGGTATCAATAGAGGTCACATTTTCAAACTAGGGAGCTAGTTTTGTCTCAGGCCCTGGCGAACAGTTTATTTCCCTGTATTAAAGGCAAGGGACTGAATAGGGTAGGGACAGCAGGTCAGAATCACTGATGACCTAGCAGAACCATGGTGCCTAGGTTTTGCTCTGGGTGTTTAAAGCTTCACAGATCCTGTCAAAGAGGAGCCGTGTCTTCTAAGGAACATTCAGCAGGTAAAACTTGAGGGACTCTATGCCTTCCAGAATGTCTCAGGCATACTACAGGTCAACAAGACAGACACACATTTTACTTGAGAGTGGCTATTAGAAATTTTTTTTCAGTGATATTCCCATTTATTTCACTTTCAGCAATGTTTTTCTCTTACATGATTGAACACATATTTTGCTTTAAAATTAACACAGTAGAAGAAACAGTGCCTTATTTTTCTAAATAAGTTACCAAACTACTGAATCTTAAGGCCTCAACCTTAATGTTGCACCTTTTTATTTTCACTGAACAATAAGATCCTCTATTTTGATCCCTGGTGAGCAGCAATTTTGTTTTTCTAGTGGTTTCCATTTGCCAAATAGTCATGATGGCTCAACATGGTGCCCAACACTTCCAGGGATTCCACCTGATGTGTCCTCTTTCCCAGGGCAACAGCCGTGGCAGCCTCCACCCAGAGCTCAGCCATTGGGACTTCTCTATCGGGGCTGGCCAAGAAGTCCCGCTTTGGCTGCCAGGGCCTCATTCTGCTGAATATGGGATTCCTGAAATCTCATGGATATTCATTATGTCATTTAAAAATATTTCTGTACACAATGTTCTGAACAGGTGATGTCTTTAGGTTTTACTTCTCTTGTTGTGAAGTCTTTAACACAGTCCAGAAAGCAGGTTTCTGTAAGTTTATTGTAGGTTCCCAGGAATTCCCCAAACTGTTTTATCTGATCAGATTCTGATATCTGTGTAGCCATATTCTTTTGGTTTATTTATGAGTCACATTTTCTGATGCATGAGTTTCCTGAGTTTCTGAGAAGCAGTTGTCCAACCTCTGCTCAGGGTTCCAGTGAGGGCTGATTTCTACTCAGTCACTGGCTTTCATCTATATGAGGCTGGGGGGACTGTGACAACTGTCAGTCTGTTGGGGTTAAAGTGGGTGCCTTGGCCAGAGAATGACAGAGAACCAGCTATTAGAAATTTTGTTATTTAAAGTTCACCAAGGAGGGAGGTGATTTTTGCTGTTGATCTGCTACACATCCCTATTGTATCTTTTGTAAAATGAGTGGATTTGGTTGTGTATTTATCATAATATATTCCTTCTAAAATTAAATGAAAACATATCTTGAGAGATGCTGTATGAATCCAAGATATTAGTTAGAGCAAGATAATATATGCAAAGAATCCTTGCAAGACTTCCCATAGATTTGGTAAATTCATTCATGCTTTCAGCCTTTATAAAGCCCTTACACATTCCACCAGTGTGTATCTCTGATTTGGCTAAGAGTATATCAGAATAAGCAAGTAGCTGATCAGCCAGGAACCAAAAATCTAGTACAGAAAAAGTTTCAAAAATGTTTTCTGGTTAGAGTGAACTTTATTGCAAGATCACTCAAGAAAGTGACAAGATTTGAATAATAATGTAATATTTATAAGTTCATTCTGTGAGCAATATTTTAACAGGGATTTATAAGAATTAACCTATTATGTCTTGAAAAAATCTAATGGGAAGCAGGAAAAATGGAAAAAAAAGAAATCTCATAGAGATTAATTAGTATCCTAAGCAACAAAGGAATTAAAGGCTGAATAAAAACGAAAATTCAAGTTGGTCTGAATGGAAGGTCTACAATATTTGCCTTTTATATGAAACAGAGCAAAGGCCACACTCTTTAGTGCTACGTGTATAGATAGAGCTTACTGTGTGAAGAAAGTGAGACTCATGAAGAAAGAGGCACATGTGTTGGAACTTGGAGAATGTGATTTACAAAAGTAGAGTTATGGAAAGAAAAACACTTAGAAGTAAGATAATCTTGCTGAGAAGAGGTCTACATTTAGATTACTATATTGGAATAATGTCAGTAAAAACACACAGAGTGTGTACAAAAATACATGACAGATGACTCAAAAATAGGTTTTTGGATGATTTTCTTCACCACCTGGCTGAAAAGATTAATATAGTGATAAAAGTTTTGTTGCCTGGATCATATGAGATTTTGATCTTTTAGAAAGAATAGCACATTGCAATTATAAAAAATCCAAAAGTAGTGAGTTGGAGCAACTGAGAACTTGTGTAACTATTTCCATGATGTCAGAGTGCTGAGGTGCAAGTAAAATAATATTTTCACATGGTAATGGTGTCACCAGAGAGGGTTTAAGGGGTTTAACATGAAGGAAATGGGGCATCAGTTTGCCCTGTGGAGTTGGCTCTTGTCTCTCAGCATGGAAAAACAGGTTTTGCACACATCCAAGAGAGTCACAGGCAAATAAGACAGAGTTAGAAAGTGAGAGGCAGGTGGGAAAGGACTTCAGTGTGAGTGGCGAGGGACAGACACACTGTGCTGGACAGGTGCAGACTGGCCAGCTGCCCAGAGACCACAGCAACCTTCATGAACATGTCAGGTGACTGGAGTAGTTTGCTCCTTATCTCATCTTGGCTTTTGCAGCTCCAACTGAATATCACCAAGCAAGGATATTCATCTCAATGGAAAAGAGTTGCCCCTCAAGCCGTGCGGGGTCCATGGAGATTTTCCCTGCTTGGGGGCAGCTTCCTTTCCCATCATGGGATAATTTCACCACTTAAAGAGATGGGCTCATCATGGGCTGCTCTGCTGAGCTCTGTTTTCCTGGAATTTTAGGTGATTGCAGGTTGGAAAGAATGCCTGGAGACATCCATGCCTCCAACCAGGGCATCAGGGAGAGGACTTTTTAAACATTGGAGTTTGGATGTCCTGAAACCCTGAAAAGTACTTTACTCTTATTGTGGGTCCTCAGTCTTGTAGGGGGATGCAATGTTCTAGATAAATTTAGGGCTAGAGAACCTTGTCACACAGACACTGCTTCAGTGATGAACATGCCTGTGTGCCAGGCTGAGCAGGACTCAGACCCAGCGTTCTAAGGTAAGGTAGGAGAATCAAACATGCTGAGAACAGGGAAGCCCAGCTTCCCCCCTGTTGTTAGTCAGTCACTGGGCATCTGCAGGCCTCCCTCCAGTTGTAGTGCATTGCTCAGGCTCAACAGAATTCAGGTGTTGGCCAACATTGCTTTGCAAGTTTTCTATACAAAGCATTAAGTAGTGTATGAAAAAGACACAGAGCCTTGAGTCTACAATGCCTGGCCACTACCTGGTCAAAAGCATAGAAAATGAATTGATAGAGTGCAGGTTTGGAAGCCTGGTGTGAGTTTGATCACAACTTAGGTCTCTAGTTTCTTTGACTCCTGTCTCCCGATCTTCTTATTTTTATCCTATACCAATAATATTCTTTTCCAAATAGTTGCAGTTCCCTATTATCCAGTTGCAGCTGGAAGAAGGCACAGTTCTTCCATTCTTTTTGTGTATGGCACAGTGCCTAGCCATCATGTTTTATCTGGAAGACCGATCAGTCTGTTGGCAGAATGCAGCATGTCCAAGGCACAAGCCAGGGTCAGAGCCTGCAGTCTGCACTCAGCCACATTCCCTCTTACACTTGATCTTAGCCAAAAGGCCAAGAGATAGCCACCTCACTCTTGCCTCATTTATCTCTCTCCTGAATCCCCTGTCCATATGAATATGTCTCCAACTCCAGTGATCTTTCTTTTAGTATGAACTGTCTTTCACCCTCAGTCAATTTGCACACTCTCTACCCCACCAACAGGACTCCTTTCCACTCTCCATCCCATTTTTTATCCATATATAAAAGCCACCTGTGTTAGAGGTATTTTACAGTATTCAGGACATATAGAAGTTCTGAATTTCATATTCATGATTTGACGAATATTTATCATATAGGTAAACTTTGAGGATGATTTACACAATTTTAAGGCATATGTCACTAAATGCACACTATTGTAAGAGACTTAAATTTCCTCTCCTCCCGCTGAAGTTTGAACATTTTGTTGTGGTTAGTAACATTTGAGCCCAGGGCCTTGTGCATTCTAGGAAACCACTCAGCCAGAGGACTGTACCCCAGCCCAAGATGATTTTAGTTTCTGAAGTAAAGCAACAATAGACAGATAACAGTAAGAAGATTGTAAAACAGAACTGTGTGCCTAAGGAATGGAAATATGAGACCCTCAGAAGAGCAGGATGTCTTATAGATGCCAACATTGGGACAGGGCTCCTGCTCTCAGTAGGGAGGAAGGGGAATGTGCATGCTCTGGAGGCAGGCAGAGGGCATCTCTGTAGGCAAGGGCTACAGGCTATTCCCAAGGGATCTGCTTAGAAAGAGCCCATGTTGACAGGGTCTAGAGATTGGTGCCTGGGGACCATGCTGCAACAGCTTGTACTTAAAGTAGGAAGTATTTTCCATCCAATAGTATTTGTTTACTTAAAAATACTTAATGCACAAAACTACTTTCTAGGAAACATTCTAAATACTTTACAGAATGACAATAATTGATTTTGATTTTTCTAAACTTCTGCAATAAATACATGAAAATATTCATTTTATTTCAAAAATAAGGCTTAAAAATATTAATTGTCTGGGGTCACTCAGCTTCAGTGATCATTCTCAGGTGTTTGAATTATGTTCTTGTCCTCTCCTTAAAAGGATTGTCCAGAAAAGTGTCCGCCACCAGAGTGCCCAAGGTCACCCTCTTGATGATGTCCTGCTCTTAGGACAACTCATTATTATCACCATAATATTGTTTAATGCATTTCTATCTGTTGATTTCTCAATTTCTAGGAACATGACTAATTTTGTCTTCTTTCCACTGGTAAAAAGGGGACTTCACACTCAAAAGAAAGAATTTTCACAAGTAAAATATAGTGAATGTGGAGCAATTTAATAAAAGGACTTCAAGGAAAAGAGAATTGCTTCCTCAGAATTTATGAATTGGATGACTATTAGTATAAATGTGAGAGGATAAACCATGCTACAATTTGATTTAATTGGTTCCACAAAGTAAATTTTGTATCTTTAGAGAACCCTTCTGTGCTTTTCCTATAAAATCTACTATAGATTCAGTTTACATTTAGAAATGACTTCATTCTAAACACTAGGTTCATTGTTCCTAGTATAAAATTGAAAAAATAAACCTATGTCTACATAAACATTTTTCTGATTTACAGATAATTCTGTAGGTATACCAGTCTGAGAGAAATTAAAAAATGAAAAAAGTAAACATGGTATTTCTGTTACACAATTCTGCCCACGTGTCATGTGTGCTCTCCACAGTAAATGCATTCACCATGGCCTGGGAAAATCAGACCTTCAACTCGGACTTCATCCTGCTGGGAATCTTTGACCACTGCCCCTTCCACACCTTCCTGTTCACACTGATCCTGGCCATCTTCACAGTGGCCTGCATGGGGAACACAGCCATGGTCCTGCTCATCTATCTGGATGCCCAGCTCTACATGTCCATGTACTTCCTCCTCAGCCAGCTCTCCCTCATGGACCTCATGCTGGTCTGGACCACTGTCCCCAAGATGGTGGTCAACTCTTGTCTGGCAGGAAATCCATCTCTCTGGCAGGCTGTGGGACCCAGATTTTCCTCTATGTGTCCCTACTCAGAGCTGAGTGTTTCCTGCTGGCTCAAATGGCCTATGATTGCTATGTTGCCATTTGCAGCCTTTAAGGTTTCCAGTGCTCATGAGCCAGAAACTCTGTGCCCTCATGTGGCTTCTTCCCAGATTCTTGGTTCACTGGATGGTATAATTGTCATTATAGTTACAATGTCCTTCCCATACTGTGGTGGCTGCAAAATCACCCACTTTTTCTGTGATGTCCCTGCCTTATTCACTCTTTCATCCACAGACACCAAGATATTTGAATGCATA